AGTGCAAACTGGAGGCACCCCCAAACTCCGCCGGTTTCCTGTGAGAACAATGTGTCTTTGTACACATTCCTCAAAACTCATCAGTCAATGTGAAACTAAAGTGTGTGCCAATGTAGGAGAAGGAGACATTTTGGGGGAGCTCAACAAGGTGGCAGAGTAGAAGATTCTCTGGAATCATTCCTCCCACATAAACATATTCAAACTATTCAAAGACAAGAATACCACCCTGATTCACCAGAACTTGGGGGAGAAGCTGAGAAACCCCTGGGGTCCACAGAGTTGAAAGAAGCCACAACTGGTAAGAGAAACAATAACTTCAGACCATGCCATCACCCTCCGCTGGTATAACGCCACTCAGAGAATGTCCTTAGATCCACCGTTTCCAAGGTGGCAGGGAGGAATTAGAGGTGAACATTCTATCTCCCCACTGATCTGGTAATCTTCATGGGATGCCCACTCTGGCCCCGTCCCACGGGAACTACCAGGAATGCCAGGATAGCTGAATGACCTGGGGTGAACTTGGGACAAACAGCCAAGCACTGATTGCAGCAACTGGTCTCACTGTGTCGCCCAGGCTGGAGTGCAGTGGCAGGATTTCTGCTCACCACAATCTTTGCCTCCTGGGTTCAAGTGATTCTCCTGCCTCAGCCTTCTGTGTAGCTGGGATTATAGGCACCAACTACCACCCTGAGCTAATTTTTGTATTTTTAGTAGAGACAAGGTTTTCACCATGTTGGCCAGGCTGGTCTCGAATGCCTGACCTCAGGTGATCCACCTGCCTCAGCCTCCCAAAGTGCTGGGATTACAGGCATAAGCCACCATGCCTGGCCAATATTTCTGTCTTTACTTAATGGTTACATTTGCTGAATATCAGAAAGTGGGCACTGTTTGCAAAAATATCTGAAGACTTCAGCAGTTTTCCCAAGAGCCTCTCTTCAACATTTAATATTCAAACCCATCTTTTTAGAAGCTCCCATCTCACCATCATCCTTGTTTATTTTCCTCTGATCCAACTGGTAACAGGTCTCACTCTGCTCCACGTCTTTTATCAATAGTTGTAGTGCTATTTTAGCAGCTCTGTGATACCTCTCTTGCCAACTTTACAGAATCCTGAATGTTTCCCAAGATCATCAATTTAAGTTCGAGGACAGCTTGCATAGTGTTTACATTGACTCTTAGGCATCACCAGACTGACCCACAAAACTGTAGGTGAGGCAGGGAGAGAGACTGTAGTCCTCAGCAGGGAGAGGCCTGATGGGATCAACTTTATAAGTGACACATTTGCTAATGTTTTCATATTGAAGATTTTTCTTTCACACATAACCTTGCAAAGTTAAACAGTCAAATGTTAGGTGAAGAGAAAAGAAGGTTCCGGTTTGTGGAATCACACAAGCAAATATGTGATTGCTCCCACCTCCTCCTTTCTTCACTCCTACCACCCACTCCTCCCCCTCATTCAGCAGCCTGAACACCTGGCTGTCTTGTCTTGTGCTGCTCCTCTCCATGAGAAACAGCACAGGAAAAAGTATGTATGACTTAACGTGTTATCCTTTCCAGGGATGATTTGTAATTTTAGAAGAGGTTGAATAAAAAGATAAATTTCAACCTAACGGAGTTACTCTTCTGAGGGTGAAATTGTAGGGACACCTATAAAGCATCTTCTCAGTGCTCCTTATACAGCTCCATGAAGGCAACCAGTAATCCCATCTCCATCAGTCACTGGGGTTGGGAGGCACAAAGGGAGGGATGGCTGTGGGTGGCTCTCCAGTTGCTCATCTCAGCTCATACAATTTTGTCTCCAGAGAAATAAGCAGCATGTGTGGTGGGGAGCAGGCTAGTCAAGACCAGGGGTCTGTTCGTCAACCCTCCTCCATCCTGCTTCCTGAAAATTCTGCCCTCCCTTATCCTGGACTGAAATTGATGGTGCAGGACATAGGGGGAGAATTGCTGGAGAAATGCCATCAGGAAAGCAATAGGGAAAGAAGCTGGAGCATCTTAGCCAGGATGTCACCTTAGCCAGGGAGGGACATGCCAAGTTCCCCCTGAGTACCCAGGAGAGAGGACAATATGCAGGAGATGTAGCTAGATCAGCAGAGGATGGCAGGGATGCCTGGCAGCATTCTTCCAGTTGCTTCTATTCCCTTTGTGTAAAGGGGAGCCAGCCATCATTTGCCAAGAGTGAGGGCAGGAAAGACATGGAAAGTTTGAGAAAGAAAAAGCATGGCACAGTTATCCAGGAACTCAGCTTCCAGAGGCTCTCCTGAGTCTCTAATGCTTGAGCTGGATGCAGATGGATAAATGGAGCTTGCTACATTTAAAAAAGGTAGAGCAATCTGTGCAAAGGGAATAGCACAGCAAGGGGGGCAGGGTGACTAGTGGTGTCCTTCACTGAAAAAGGAATGGGGTGGGCTGGGTGCAGTGGCTCACACATATAATCCCAGCTACTCAGGAGACTAAGGCAGGAGAATTGCTTGAACCCAGGAGGTGTGAGCTGAGATCACACCACTGTACTCCAGCCTAGGTGACAGAGCAAGACTCTGTCTAAA